TTCATGCCTGAAGCAAAAGTTTATAGTTTAAAACGTTTAAAATATGAATATATTTTCTCACACACACCTATATAGTTTCCATTCAGAAGGTATTGATTCAGGTCATGTGGGTTATAGATGTTTCGTGTTTGTGGTTTTTGAAGCGTCAACTTGTACGATCCACTTAACATTATGTGGACTTACAGAGACTTTTTTTTTCTTCTAAAAATCTTTGTTTTTGTTCATCTAAAGAAGAAAGTCATATACACCTGGGTGGCAGTAAATGATTAAAAAAAATTAAAATGTTTGGGTAGAGTACCCTTTTAACTAGTTCTTAATGTTGTGGCCACCCAGACTTTGGGTAGAAATATAATTGGTGTAAATTGTGTACACGCCTTTTAATGAATGATTCACATGCAGCACAAAGATTGTTAACACAGTTAGACTGACTGTTCGTTTGTATCATGATATCCATGATTCCTCTGACTTCATTAATGGCTCAATCCAGATTTGATATCTAAAAAAAGAAAGAAGGCCTGAAGACATATCAGAGTTATCCTAGTGATGTATAACCCATTGCTCTGGGCCCATTTCCTTGTCCCATCTGTCTACAGAGAGCATACAGTACACACACAGTATCTACATTGCTACACTAAGAGCTTACAGGAATCCTTAGTCAACATGAAATGCCATTCAAAACCCAGTTTACTTCCATAATTGGACATGTTTTCCAAGTAAAACAGGATATTCAGCATAGGACAGGGCTTGATTTTATCCACTGGACCATGAAAAGCGGAGTTAAAGTATATTTGAAACAGCATGCACCGATGAATCAAGCATTAAGAATGTAAACATTGAAATATGCAAATCAAAGAGAAAATGAAATTGCACAAAAATAAACTCATTATAAAGATATCTTGCGACTGCACACTACACTAGCTCCAATTCACTAAGGGAGCGGTGGCTCAGGGTGTCAAAGATGTGGAAACATTTCAGCAGAATCACAGACCCAGCTGGGCTAGGCTGGATTTCTGTCTCTTTCTTTCGTCTCCCTCCTCTGCTACAGACCAAAACCTCATCTATCCCCAAAGCCCCCAAGACACAGGTCCCCGCACCAGACAGGCCATCTGTCAAAACAAGACGTCACATCACAGCTTGCCATAAATGCCGTAATCGTGGAGAAAAAGCCACTATAAGTGTGCTTATTCAGGGTAAAACTCTGAACTATGGCCTCAGTCGCAGACAGCGTGATGTAAAACTATTTGCACTGTAACCCATTACATCTATCATTGCATTTTAACCTTTAACCCTGCTTTGACTGATTCTGTTCCCAAGCTAAATTGCTCAAAAAAAGAAAATATTGCGAACACTTTACAATAAGGTTCTATTTGTTAAATACATCCTTTAACACAAATTAACAATGAAAAACTAACATTAGGCCTACCTAATTGGACCTTATTGTAAAAGTGTTACCAAAATGTCTCAAAATAAACATAATAAAGGCTTCTTTGTTATCAATATGGACTCTCTTTCACTGCTGTGCCATCACACAGACAATTACCTCAGAACATGTGTCAGTCTGCCCTCTGCTCCTCATGGGGTTTCCTCCATCACCATTTCCCTTCATGCATTTCTTATGTCAGTGCTTTCTGCAGAGCCAATCAATAT